AGTGGATATATATGCATAATTTTAGTGGTCAAATATGGCTCCTTATTTTGTGTGACATGATCTCCGTTAGGTAATGGGTCGGTAACCTGAGTTGTAATGCGTTTTTTTCCTGTGTTGAAATATATTTTTTAATGGAGTATGAATCATCCCCATAGGGGATGTTGTAATTGGTCTGCATTATTTGCATATAATATTCATATAATATAGTATGACTAACATTTTTGAACTTTAAACTATATCCCTATCCCATCTATTGCGAAATAACTCATATGTGTATACCATTTCCATTAACTATTTATTCATCCACATAGGGATCAAAACTGGAAATATTGTATCGAAATGAAAAAAAAAAAAAAACGCTCACACACAACAACAACGAAAGTTAATAAATTGCTGTTAGTTGGCTTAAAGCAAAAATACCATATAAAAATTAAATTATCTTATTTTATTTTGTTACTTCTGTTTTTGGTTTAGTAAAAAAAAAACAATTCAATCAATAAGGAAATGGTTAGAAACCAACATAGAAACAATAAAACCATTAGTAAAAAGTAGAGTGAGACATCAAATATTAAAGAACAAAAACAAAAAAAAAAAAAATGATGACACACATTGAATTTTGTATTTGATGTTTATTTTTTTGTGTCAAACATTCTAAAATCACATTCAGAATATGTGATGTAGATTAAATGCTAATGGAGATGTTATTGTTTAAAGTTTGCAATGAAAGTGTCGGGTTTGTGTTAAATATTAAATATTGCCACATTTATACCAACAAAAACAAATTAAATTTAAGATAAATTTAATTATTAATACGTTTGTGTTTTATTAAATTTTATTTTAAAATGTTGAGTGAGGATTTCGCCTTGTTATTTTGTTAACATAAAAATGGAAAAAAGTTAAGATATGTATATAAAACATTATCAAATATTTGCAACTGATAAAATGTTGTTTCTGATTTGGGTTGACATTTTTAACGTTGTTATTAGTAATTTCTATTTTCATTTGACAGTACTGCGTAAGTACAGTATAAAAAAAAAACTACAACAATGTCAAACGCCATAATTTTTACTTTTTATAACCTCCACCATAGTATGGAGGGTATTTGAAGTTTGTCATTCCGTTTGTAACACCTCGAAATATACATTTTTGACCCCACAAAGTATATGTCGATTTAGCGATGTCCGTCCGTCTATCCGTCTGTGGAAATCACTCTAGCTTCCGAACGCATTGAAGTAAATTGATAACATTTTACTCAAGTGTATATTATGTCTGCAGGACTCTTGGCATTTAAAATGGGTCATGCAGGTCCACGTTTTGGTATAGTCCACATACAACCGTACCTCCCGATATTCGGTTTTCTGGTTACTTAAGCGACAATATTCACCGGAATAGTTTCAAATTTGGAATTCGAAATAAATACTACAGCCTAAGACAGAAATTGTCTGTGCAGGCCCACGTCTTTGTATAGTCCCCATATAACGGTGACCCCCCATTTATTGGGTATTTTGATGATTGTAGCGACATTATTCACCGGAATGCTTACTACAGCCTACGACAGAAAATTGTCTGTGCAGGTCCACGTTTTCTAATAGCCCCCGGTGCCTCCTCATATTTGGTATTTTCATGATTATAGCGACATTATTCACCGGAATTGTTTCAAATTTTGTATTTGAAGTACGTAATGGATTCTAGAAGCTAAGACAGAAAATTGTCTGTGCAGGCCGACGTCTTCATATAGCCCTCTCGGCCGAACTTACCGCTTTCTTATTTGTTTTTTTTTAATTTTATTATATTTTTTTTAGAAAATTTTAGAATAAGTTAAGATTTTTTCGAATTGGTCACTGCCCGAATGTTGCTCTGCGGTATTTTGGCCCATTTCCGGCGAAGCGCTTGCTTGAAGTGACGGACACTTTGGTATTTTTTTAGCGCCAACCTTGCTTTCCAAAATACTCCAGACACTATAGTCTAACGGATTAGTATCTGGAGATTTTGGTGGCCATTGTGCGCTGGAAATGAAACGAGGAACCTCATTTTGTAACCATTCTTGGGTGGCGCGTGCTGAGTGCGATGGTGCTGAGTTATGTTGGAATGTCCAAGGTCTGCGGCCAAAATGTTTGCCTGCCCATAAGGAAATCACACTATCACGCTTGAATTCCATCAAGAATAACTTTGTTTCTGGAAAATTCTCAACAAAATGATTTTGTACGCTTGTAAACAATATAATGAGCTGTCACTGGAATAATTTTAACAGCTCTCGGACGAGTGGCTTAGAAATGACAGCAGTCTGAAGTTCGTTGCAGTTTTTTCATCTCACCCTGTATATACATTTTCCAAACTCGCCGATCTAAGTCAATCTAGCTATGTATATCCGTCTGTCCATGTTAATTTTTAATGGAGGTGGGGTTCAGTCAGAATATAACCCTATTGTTTTTGGAGATGATCGCAATATATTTAGGGGTTGAAATGGACCAAAAACAGAAAAAAATTCTTGATTCTGCTGTTGTTCTACAGGCCACAATTATAGAACAATCAACGCGGAATTTTGCATGGAGTTAGAGTTTAGGGCTGGACAGAAGCTAAGCAATTTGGATGGTTATCGGGCAGTATTTAGCGTGTAAAATATATAATAAATTTTATGTCACAAAATACGAAAATTTCCACTAAGCCGCGAATATTTTTAATTCCGACCAAATCACATTAAAAGGTCACTCCAGACCATTAAAGTTATGGAAATAGCCAAGATATCGGATATGTAGCAAAATAGATACAATATATATGTAAAAGAAATAGATCTTACTTATTACTTATATCGCTGGACCGATATTCGGAAGCCTCATCAATTCGAAATAGTCTCTAGCCAGAAAAAAATTATATCCAAGAAAACCGCTTAAAAATATGATAATAAACAAGTAAGCAAAGGCTATAGTCGTGCGGGGCCGACCATGTGATACCCTACAACACTACAATATGTTCAAAGTCTCCTTATATCCCAATCCATTTTGTAAAATTTCGTTTTTGAAATAATGTCAAAGAGCCCTGTCCAGATGTTACCCTGTCTTACCAATTCACGTACTCCGTCATGTTACATTCAAAACAATTTCACACGAAAGTTGTGGTAATATAATCCAATAGTCATTCAAAATGCTAGACTTCTTAATTTTCCTTAACACACTTCTAATGCGAAAAACAACTTAGAAAACAAATTTAGTCCATTTTATTTCTGGCCCTAATGCAAACCCATGTAATTTCGTGAGGATCGAATGATAATTGCGACATGCATATAATACCCTCAAAACGTAGTGTTGAGTGGTGTAAAAATTTAGAAAATTTTCAATTTATAATTGTAAGTCAAATTGAAAAAATCGCATGCGATAAAAAATATGACATAAATTGAACAAAAAATGGAACAAAAGATATTCACTCATTTATTGGTATCTTTTCCGCGATTTTCTTAGATGTTATCCTTTTCTCGCCAGAGACCATTCCGAATTGAGGGGAATTGTGAAAATCGACCCAGCGGTTCTTGAATTATAAGCAGAATAAATATCTCTCTTTTACATATATATTGTTCCTATTTTGAAACACATATCCGATTTCTTGGCTATCAGCATCGCTTTAATGGTCAGGAGTGACTTTTTAATGTATTTAATGGAAATTGTCCTATTTTCTTACATAAAAATTAGGGTCTATTTTACCTGCTAAATATTGTCCGATGGCCGCCCAAATTGGTAGGCTTCTGCCCAGTCCTAAACTCTAACCCGCGTAATATCTTTCATAATTGTGGCCTACAGAGCAACTGCAAAATCAGGAAAATTTTCTGTTTTTTTGGTCCAACCCCTAAATATTTTGCAATCATCTCCAAAAACAATAGGGTTCTATTCTGACACTAACCCCACCTCCATTTTCAATTTCGGGAGGATCGGGCCACAATTGCGACCTGTAGCTTGATTACAAATTAACATGGACAGACGGATGGACGGACATACATAGATCGACTCAGTTCGGCGAAATAGGAAGATCTATATATACTTTCCTATGTGGGAAACCAATATTTCGAGGTGTTACATAATTTTTGGCCCAATCAAACTTATAATACCCTCAACACATAGTGTTGTAGGGTATAAAAAGTGAACATTTTCTGTTACATTTTTTTTCAATTTTTGTCATATTTTTTATCGCATGCGATATTTTCAATTTGACTTACAATTTTGAATTGTGCTTTTTCTAAAGTTTGTCTACACCCCGTATTATATCAGATCAGAACTAATGCCTATTGTGCTTTTTGAATAACCATTTGACCATAAAGATAAGGGTAGGGTTCTATGACATCACATCAAACATTAATTTGGACATAAGGGGCCTTTCAACACATTATATATGTTGTGGGAATCACATGGTCGGCCCAGCACGACCATAGCCTTTCTTTACTTGTTTTTTTTTTTTAATTTTTTAACCAATTTCTTTTGTCATATTTTATCGCATGCGATTTTTTCAATTTGACTTACAATTTTGAATTGTGCTTCTTTTTTAAAGTTTGTCTACACCCCGTATTATGTCAGATCAGAACTAATGCCTATTGTGCATTTTGCATTTTGAATGACCATTTGACCATAAAATTAGGGGTAGGGTTCTATGACATCACATCAAAAATGAATTTGGACATAAGGGGCCTTTCAACACATTATATTGTTGTAGAGTATCACATGGTCGGCCCCGCACGACCATAGCCTTTCTTTACTTGTTTTTTTTTTAATTTTTTAACCAATTGTTTCCAACAACAATTTGATCCAATATGTTTTTAAGTTATCCTCACACTTAATTTACAAAAAAAAAACATGTCACGCCAAGTCAATTGGCCTACTAATGATTACAATTTAAATTTTTTATTGGTGTAAATGTGGCAACATTATAACAGTTAAATGTGTGGGTGTTTTGTGTATATTTATGTAAATGTTAGTAGAAAGCTTAGAAATGGCAGAGAAATGAGTTCAAATACTAACCTCTGTGGGGAATGTCTCCGTGGACAGGTCATCGGCAATTCTAGTCATATTCTGTATTACAGCTTGGGCTTCCACGGCTCCCTTCTCCAACGAACGTAAACGGGCGGCACGCCATGAGGCACGTTTTTCAGCACTAGATTTTTCAGGTTGGAATGAGAAAAGTAAATGAAAATGAAAGTAATATTTTAATAAGTGTAATAATAGCAGTTCTAAAAAAAGTACAAAGAAATCGTTTAAAGCAATTAATTTATCAAAAATAAAATATAATTCTCAAAAATAAAATTAATAATTTCAAGCCAATACCAGAAAATAAAGAAATTGGAAATTTAAAATAACCGCCATAAAGAAATCAAATTATAAAGAAGAGAGAAAAACACATTCTACAGTATTACACCAATATAAACATAGAAAGTAAAGAAAGATATTTTGAAAGTAATTGTTTCTAAATGAAAAAGTGAATATACATTGGTTCTGACTGAACGACAAAGAAAACAATCAAAGTAAAAGATGGTACAATTAAACTACACAGTGAGAATTGTTTTGCAAAAAGAGAATAGGAGTTGCGTGTATAGCAAACATTTATTTTGCATTTAACATATATTCGAGAAAAATTGTGTGTAAAACGAAAGAAAAAAATCATTTTGATACACAGAGAAAAAGTGGGTCCAAGAATATCTAAAACTTAAAAATAATAAACAAGTCATTCAGAAGGAAAATGAAACCTTTATTTACCTAAATGAATGTTTCATAGCACAAAAATTATCGCTTAAGTAAATCTATTTTCGAGAGGTTTCACTGCATTTTATTGTGTTGGCAACTGCTGGTGACGAATGTAAAATTAAATGTAACCACTAGACCAAAACATACAACAATACGTAGAACTAACTTTACTGAAATTTCTAAAATAATAAATAATTGCAGCTGGTATTTTGTGAATTGCTTACCCATTAATAGAAAAAGTTTTAAATAATTTTATGTATTGGTGAAATTGCATGGTTGTTGCTGGGTGGATAGAAGAATTAAATCATCTAAATTGTGCTAAACGTATATTTGCAGGATAATTTTTCAGTGTGTTGAAAATAGCATAAAAATATTAACATTCAATATTTTTTTTTTGTTTTAAATGTTGCTACTGTTGTATCCAAATCTATATTCATACAACGCTTAAGGTTAAACAAAGATTGACTAATCCAATGATATTGAATTCGATGCACACTTAAATTAGAATATGTTGAGCATTGTAAAAGAAAATAATATAACGGAAATCTTAATTGTTCAATAACTCTGTATAATACAAATAATTTTTTCTACATTGCAAAAAAGAATACGCTTAATTTTTCTAGAGATTTTTTTTGGTATTAAAAAAAACCTCCTCTAAATTAATTTTTTGTCAATACCAGAAAAGAAAAAATCTCACTTTTTTTAATTTTCAAGCGGAAAATTTTTGAAGAATTGGGGATTTTAATAGCGAAACTTCTATAAATTATTTTTTTTTTTTAATATAAAACCTTAGTGGACTGCGGTTTTTTTAGAGAAACCTTTTTTTATCCGCAAAATTTGTATAAATAAAACACTGCTTAAGTGGATGTTTCCATAGAAAACCTTTGCTGAATCGAAGTTTTCTATAGAATTTTTTTTGGTACCAAATTGTGCACCAGATGGCCAATATCACGTCAAATGACCTGATTTTCGGAACATCGGACCGAATTCGGTCTAAAAGAAAGTGCATAAAATTTGATGAAAATCGGTTCACCCTCCCATTCGTAAATATGCACTCCACAAGAATGATATTGGGTACCAGATATCAGATACGATTTGAATGTTTACATTTCAAAAGGGCAGTCCACCCTCTTTTTATACCCTCCACCATTGTATGGAGGGTATATTAAGTTTGTCATTCCATTTGTAACACCTCGAAATATACATTTTAGACCCCACAAAGTACATATATTCTTGGTCAGCATAACATTCTATGTCGATTTAGCGATGTCCGTCCGTCTGTGGAAACCACTCTAGCTTCCGAACGAATTGAAGTAGATTGATAAAAGTTTACTCAAATTTGTATTATCTCTGCAGGCCTTTTGGCATTAAAAATGGGTCATGGAGGTCCACGTTTTGGTATACCGCCATATAACGGTACCCCCCGATATTCGATATTTTGATGATTTTTGCCACTTTTTTCACAAATTTGTGTAAAAATTGGTATTTGTGGGTCATCATGGGTTCTAGCTCGTATGGCGAAACATTGTATTCATAGGACAGCGTTTTAGTATAGCCCCCATATAACGGTACCTCCCGATATTTGATATTTTGATAAAAATTGGTATTTACAGTTCATAATGGGTTCTAGCCCGATGAGAAAATAGAGTATTTAGTTCCACGTTTTCCTAAAGCGCACATATAACTATACCCCCCGATATTCGGAATTTGTGATAATCCAAGTTACATTTACCCACATAATTGTTTCAAATTTGGCATTTTAGAAGATTTGATAGATGACAGTCCTTGAATTATAAAATTTCTTATAGCGGAACCCGTTTTTTTTTTTGATAAATTTAACTGCATTATTCAAACGGTCTTACTTTAATATAAAAATGTTTCCTTTACCCTAAGGTGGAGGAATGTATTGAAATTTCGACCCGGCCGAACTTAATGTCTTGTTTTCAGATTATTTTTTTGTCCTTTTGACTTTTTTCCGGTCATAATCCTAATAAAACTTACAAAAATTATTTAATGTTGTAAACTTGAGATCGCGTTAGCCGGTGCCGGACATACCCAGAGGAGAAAGTCTTTGAACATACCCATTATTATGGGGGTTATGTCCGCATCTCCTATCGGAAGATGTTAAACCAGAAGCAACCATAATTCAAATTATCAGGTTTTTTTTTAAGGAGCCAAGACCCTCCACTATGGGCGTTCTCTACTATCAAAATATTGAAAATTTTTGTATTTTCGTACCTTTAATTAGGATTTCACAAAAAACCAATCATCCTACAGGCCTACCTAACAACGGACCTGTGGTAAATCACTTTGTACGGTCTTTCCAGTTCCAATCAGTTATATCACCTTGCAAAACTTGCAAAAAAAGTAAGACAAAGTTGCATTTTAATACCCTACACCACAAGGTGGTCAGGGTATTATGTGTTTATGCATTTGTTTGTAACAGGCAAAAGGAAACGAGATAGACCCATAGTTCCTTATGATGATCTGCATAGAACCACATTCTGAGTCGATTTATGCATGTCCGTCTTTCCAAGTATTTTTGTGATCAAAGTACAGTTCGCATTTATTACCCGATCCAGATGAAATTTTGCACAAATCATTTGTTTGGCCCAAGAACGAACCCTATTGAAATTGGAGATAATCAGTACATATTTAGATATAGCTCTGTAACAACAATATTAGGAGAAATATATCAAGTACAGCTCAGAAATACCTTTGCTAAATTAGAAAGATGTAAATGTTTATAAGTGCGGTTGTAAGATTTAGAAGACTTTCCAAGAGAATTTTAGTTTTATTTAATTCTTTGATTCCTCTTCTATTGAGCTTACGATCTCGTCACTTGGGTAAAAAAATGTTTTTTGTCATAGAAGTTATTTTTAAAATAACTTCTGGGGAGAATATCCCAGACAAAAACAAGGGAACTGATGAGGATTGGTGGCTCTTTCCGAAACCTAGGTATTCCCTGCCCTACCCCCTGGTAAACATTACCATCGTTCTCCACTAATAAACAAACGTTGTTTTTATAAAAACAACAATAAAGCGATAAAGCCAGACCATTTTGCAACAACAAAATACTACGGTATCCCGAACAAACAAGCCACACTGTTCTAGAAATTTTTAACTTAATAATGCTCAAATTGTCATAATAAAATTTACATTTTTTGATACCGAATTCGAGAATTTAAGCCTTATGATGTTTATTCATTTGACAAAAGTTTCTGATAACGGTACCAATGTCGCCTCAGAATGGGAAACCGCTCAGAGATATAGGCTGATTTCGTCAAGAAAAAAAATTTTCGATATCGACGGACATTTGAATTTTGAAAAAATCTAAGATTTTGCATCAGAATCGGGTACGAGCTAGGAGAAAGTAATTATGGGAAAAGAATATTACAGGCATCAGAATGGGGAACTGTGTACAGATTTGGACAGAGTTCGGATAGAGCTCGTCGAAAATTCTTAAGTTTTTTTTTATTTATTTATATTATTATTTTATTTATTTATTTCTTTTTTTTTTTTGAATTTCCCATAAAAAAAAACAACTTTTCGATATCAACGGACATTCGAATTTGGCATCAGAATCGTATACGAGCTTGGAAAAAGTGATGATGGGAATAAAATATTACGCGCTTGAAACAATAGCATCAAATGAATGCAATTATGGGAAACAAGTACATAATTCAAGCATTCAAAACAAACAAATCTTGAATCTAGCCTTCTAAGTAATTCATGATACTGGAATAAATGAAACGATGGATATGCCTTTTCTAAATCAAAGAGGCACAACGAAATGACTTCGATGATATTGGTTGAAGTGAATGAATGGAGTGGTGAGGGGTGGTGCGATGGATGCGTGCCTTGCTACATTCTCTAACACTTACTTTATCAGAGCATTGCTATTCTTTGCCTTCGCATCCTGCTCGGGGGATGTTGGTCGGTCGATTGCTGATGCCGATGTTGCAGCAAGTGTGGCTTGTAATGCCCGTTTTTCGGCATTTGCTGGTGTTGTTGAACGCAGTACCGGTATACGACTAGAAGGTGGTGAGGTGGGATCCTCAATATCTTGATGTTGTTGTTTTTGCAGCAAGGCGGGTGGTATTACCACTTTTACCTTTGGTTTTGGCAACAATGAAGGTTTGGGCGATTGTGCGCCCGTTGCTATCGGTGTTGGTGAAGGTGATGTTGTGCCAACAATGCTGGAGGTGGTCGTCGACTCACTGACGCTGACATTTTGAGGTTTAAACTTAACTGGTTTCGCACTTTGTTGTTCATCTGTGACCAATGTTTGTGACGTTGTTTTCACTTTTGTTGTTCGTATTTTTGGCGCCTGGATTTGCGGTTTTGGCATATGTTCTGCACTTGCAGTCATTCTTGTTGGCGGTGGTGCTGCTGCCGAAGCCGACGCTGTCGCTGTTGTTGACTCGTCGACTGGCTTTACAATATTTTCACTTGTCTTTAATGCATTGCCCTGCTTAAGTTTGCAAGCTACAACGGAGGGTGGCTTTAATGTTCTCTTAGGCTTGGTTGTTGTTGCAGCCGTTGTAGCTGTAGTGTTGGGGGAAATTTGTGTTGATGTTGCATGTGCAGCTGTTGGTGACGTGGCTGCCGCCGTCTTTAAACTTCTTGTCTGTTGTTGTATCCTTCTACTTTGCCAGCAAGTGCAAGTGGTTATTATTGTACATGTATGAACGGAACGTGTGTGCGTTGGGTGTGTGTGTGTGTGCGCATATTTTTATAACATATTTGTTGATTGTTGATGAAGAAGCAGAAGACGCCAAAAGGAAGGCATTGTTGCAGTGCAAAATACAAGTATTGCGTTAAAGGATATTGTTTTTAATATAAAAACGCGAACATATAAGAACATATTTTAGTTTGGTTGTCGTCGTTGTTGTTGGTGTGTTTATTTTGCGAAAATCCAATATAACAGATTTTTATTGCCATCATCGTCATCAACATCATAGTTTATGGTGCAGTTTGTCATAATATTGCAAGTAGAGTTGGTGTTGTTGTTTATATTTATTATTTTTTGGTTTGAATATTGTTCATAAATTTTAGTTTTTTGTTTTTATAATTTTGTGAAGAAAATAAAAAGAAAAACATAAAGAAAAAGAAAATAAAAAACCATAAAATAAGAAAAATATTTAATATTAAATTGGAAATCCAAAAAATCGACTCAATTTTTTTTAAGCAGCATACAGTTTTAGGATTGTTACGACAACTCGTTGTTAATTTGATAACAAAAAATAACGTTAGCATTTATTATTAGTAAATAAATATGGTGAGTTGGCGTTGACTAGATCTGAATTTTTCAAAATTTAAAATGGATATTTTCAAAAATTAATTAATTAATTAATTGGAAGAATGATTTTCCTCCTAATTTTGTTTTATAATTTGATAACCTCTTCTGTTGGCTTAACCATCGGTCCTTGTTTGTTATTGTGGTATATGACGTAAAATTTCTTAAAATAATAAGAAGCCTCTTTGTGGGAAATACTATAACGAGTGGAACTATATGAGTGGAAGTGAAGGCTAAATAGGGCATTCTCCATTTCGTATGAGATTTTCGAACATTTGAGGTTTATTTTTACTCCCGGAAAAAGAATATGATATCGACAAAAGTATAAACATATAAATAATAATAATAATTTTGGAAGGTTTCGCTTTTGAAATTATGTCATAGAGTCGGGGCGCTGTAAGTTACGTTTAAATATAATACAATGGTCATTCAAAATGATAGACTTCTTTCCTGTCCTTAACTCTCAATTGTGTGATCAGAAAATGTATCTGTTTTTTTGTTCTTTTGAACTCCTAAATATTTTGTGATCATCTCCAAATGCAAGCGGCCGGAGACATTTTAATTTTTTATACCAAATAACATTGCTATAGAGCGCATGATATAACTTCGAGAAGGATTATATTAAAAAATATATATCGGAGCCGAGTTCCACAAAATGAAAACGTACGTCCCGAAATTCACTCCATGTTGGTTGATTTTAGCCTTTATATGCACAATAAACCTGGAATCGGATTAAAGATATATATGGGAGCTATATCCATATCTAAGTCGTTCTCGAAAATTGGCAGGGGTATATCCGAGCTTTATGAGATATCTGGTACCAAATATCATTGTTGTCGAATGCATATTACGAATTTGAGGGACTTAAACACTAAAATCAGATGAAACATAGCTATAACTATATCTGAACCGATTTTCACCAAATTTGATGTACTTGCTTCTAGACTGAATTCGATAGGATGTGCCAAAAGTCTGGTCATTTGGACTGATATTGTCCATTTGGCGCACAATTAGCCCGAAATCTGTAGAATATATATATGGGAGCTATATCCAAATCTGAACCGATGTTCATAAAATTTGGCGAAGGTATTTCTGGGAGGTTTGTGACATCTGCTACCAAATATCATTGTTGTGGAGTGCATATTTCGCATGGGAGTAGACTTATAACCCCAAATCGGATAAAACATATATATGGGAGCTATAGCTATATCTGAACCAATTTTATCCCAATTTGATGTACTTGCTTCTAGACTGAATTCGGTCAGATGTACCAAAATTCCTGTTACAAAGAAATTCACAAAGACATAATACCCTTACCAATATGTGATGTAGGATTTAAAAAGGCCTAAAACGAACTGTTGGATCGATTATAGAATTTTAAGGTGAATTTCGTATTAATTAAATCTGGATCTCAGGGGAAATAATTTTTTTTATAAAAATTTCTTTATTTGTAGATGGTTGTATATCTTGCATATTGTTTTGTTCTGACTATACTCATGGTAGAATATAATGTTTTATAACCCTATGGACCAAAAAAAAGAACTTACCATATTGATTATTTTTTATTAAAAAATGAAAATTCATATAAATAAACTTAAGCACAATCCTTAAAACTGTATGGCTTTCACGAGTCGATTTTTTGGAATATTTTCTTTTGTATGTTTATAAATTTATTTTTATGTTATTAATTTATGTTGTTACATGCAATATTGTTAAACACTTTTTGGGCACTTTTAATGAAGTTTCTCAAAAGTTCAGTTGCGAACATTTGCAGTGAGTATGACAAGATATGGTTGCACGTGAGTTATTTTAAGGCGTTTGTTAGTCACACATTTTGAGTAGCATTCTTGGGCGGGATACAGACTGTTCGGGCGGTGCAATATAATTGTGTTTTCATTCATTGTTAGCTACTTAGCATTCCATGGGGGTAGTTATCCATTGATAATTTTATGATTTGGTTAGAGAACATACACAGATACAGGCAGTTAAAAACATTTGCTATTTTTATGCTTAGTTTTTTGTTAAAATGTTATTTTTTTATTTGTATGGGTTCCATATTCACATGGTTTTGCGGCATGAAATAAGCATTCAATTTGATATTCTTGCACAAATTAAAAACAATTAAATTCAATATAAATCAAACTTTGTATTGGAGTATGATACCAAAATATATCAAAAGCTTAAAACTAACAATTTAAATAGCACGCTAAATTCATTTTTTTTTTCGTTTTCAAGTAATTTCTTCAGAAAAATAAATAAAAACTTACATTACTTTCATTTTCGGCAAAATTGTGTGCATTAAATTCCATTTCAAATGTCGATTACCAGTAAATAATGTAAAGAACAAGTTTGTTGCAAATAAGTATACGACACAAGTTTCCATTCAACAAAAGCAGTGGAGAAGGAGAAAATAATGTTTTAACTATTTTCACTCCTAACCGAAAAGTTAGGTTGTGCTACTGCTTACAGCCAACCAGCCAGTCAGCCAACCAAAGTGATTTATATTTTGGAAAATTTTTCACAACACTTTCATAAAACTTTTCAATTGCACAAAGTAGTGCAGTTTGTATTTATTGCTTTCCCTTGAAAATCTTTCAAGTTTGGTAAAAAAAAAGACCGACAGGCTCTGTTTTGTAAATGGCAGGAACAGTGAAACTAGAATAAAATATAAACGAAATAAACTGAATATTATACACATAAAATAATGAGTATTTTCTGATGAAACCCGGCAATTTAGGTCAACATTAACTATTTCCGGCCCTATTACATGGTCGCCACATTTAATATACCCTATGTTTGGTTTTTGAAATGTACAAGGTGAGATGAAAAAACCGCTACCAACTTCAGACTGCTGTCATTTCTAAGACTCTCGTCCGACAGCTGTTAAAATTAATCCAGTGACAGCTCATTATATTGTTTACAAGAGTACAAAAGCATTTTGATGAGAGTTTTCCAGAAAAATAAGATATTCGTGATGGAATTTCAGCGTGATAGTGTGATTTCTTTATATTTGATTGGAAAGCCACAAGTGGCTATCGTTAGAACACTCCAGCATTTATATGTGAATAAATCTTTTGTGTGTCGTACCATCGCGCGTTACCGCTCGGAATACTAGCGTAGCCCGACGTCAAGGAAGTGGACGGAAGAAAACAGCAACATCAACAGAAATGGTTCGAAAAGTAAAGAAGCGACTTGATCGAAACCCGAAAAATGGCTCGTGAGCTGAACATATCTTAATATTCCATTCGGCAAATATTGAAAAATGAGCTCGGTGCAAAGCCATTGAAATTCCAAAATGTTCAAGAACTTACACCGCAACAGAAGAAAATAAACTTGAAAGAGCTAAAGAGTTGCTTCCCTTGGCCGAAAGTGGTGAACTGCCGAATTTGGTTTTCTCCGATGAGAAAACATTCGTTATCCAGCAGTTTGTAAACAAACAAGTAATATATATGTGGGATATACGATATTGTGGATCTATATATACAATTCCCTTTCAGGAGATAAAGTGCTCACAAAGAACTCCTTTTGTAGAATTTCAGACAATTCCATTGAAAAATGCGGCTAAAATCATCAAAATACCGAATATCGGGGGGGTAACGTTATGTGGGGGATATACGATATCGTGGACCTATATACACAATTCTCTTTCAGGCGATACTTACAAAGAACTCCTTGTGTATAATTTCAGGGAATTCCGTTGAAAAATGTAGCTAAAATCATGAAAATATCGAATATCGGGGGGCTATACGATGTCGTGGACCTACATAGATAATTATCTTTCAAGGATGAAGTACTCACAAGGAAATTCTTGTTTAGAATTTCAGACAATTCCGTTGGAGAGTGTGGCTAAAATCATCAAAATCCCGAATATCGGGGGGTACCGTTTTTTGGGGGATATACGATAGTGTGGACCTATGTAGACAATTCCCTTTTAGGGGGTAAAGTGCTCACAAAGAACCTCTTGTGTATAATTTCAGACGATTCCGTTGAAAAATGTGGCGAAAATCATCAAATTACCGAATATCGGGTGATACCGTTATATGGGGACTATACGATATCGTGGACCTATATAAATAATTCTCCGGAAAGGCATAAAGTACTAACACAGAACTCCTTGTGTGGATTGTTATACAATTCCATTAAAAAATGTGGCTAAAATCGTCAAAATACCGGATATGGGGGGGTACTGTTATATGGAGGCTACACGATATCGTGGATCACTATAGCCCATTTTCGAACTTAACCTGCCTGCAGACAAAAGAGAGATCTGTGCAAAATTTTAGCTTTCTATCTTATTTCGTTTTGACTGTAGCGTGATTACAACAGACGGACGGGCGGACGGAATTT